ACTACCATCCATATAACAGTCATCGATTTACTCTGGGGGAGATCAGTAATAAAATCCATGGAGATAACCTACCAGGGCCGGCTCGGCGTAGGTAGTGGGTGCAACAGACCCGGAGGTTTCCCCGGTCTAGGTTTACTCATGGCACAGATCTGGCAGGACTTGACAAAGGAGGATAGATCCTTGCGCATCTGTGGCCACCAAAACTGACGTTGCTGAAGAGATTTAATGAAACCCAGGTGTCCTGACAGTTTGGAGCCGTGCACAGCTTGCAACACCCCCCCCTGGAGTGAGAGGGGAACAAACAGTTTATGTCCCCGATACCAACAGCCATAATTTCGCAGTTCAAAATCACTCTCTGCTTCGAGCACGGCCTCGTCGCCCTCCGAGAAGGCGGAGGCAAACTTATGGTGCCAAGTTCCCCCCCGCCCCTTCTGGCTGGGGAGGGTTAGGCTTCTGGCATCACAGGAGTTGAAGTAATGTGGCATGTCATCACCACCCCGACCAGATGTGAAGGCGTGAACACAGAGTCCAAAACAACTTCCCTTTGGCTATCAAGTTGGGGTAGGTGGGACAGTGTGTCAGCTAGAGAGTTCACTGAGCTGGGGAAGTGATGGAGGGTGAACTGGAATTTGGAAAAGAAATCTGCCCACAGAAGTTGCTTGGCATTAAGACACCAAGGTGTTTTGAGCGTTTCCAAGTTCTTATGATCAGTCTACACCTCGAACGGGCCCTTCCCCTTAGTCTTTAATAAGTCTGTCAGGGGTAAGCTGACCTAGGCAAAATTGGGCAAAAAGTTCCTGTAAAAGTTCGCGAATCCGAGAAAGGATTGGAGCTGGCAACGGGTGCGGGGTACCCCCCACCCCAGCACATCGCGCACCTTTCCCAGATCCATCTCTAGACCCCTGTCAGAGATCTGATACCCCAAGAAGTCAATGTGTGTCTTATGAAATTCGCATTTAGACAGTTTTGCAAACAGTTTGTGCTTGTGCAACGTGGTCAACACCTCCCTCACCAAGTTCACGTGGGAGGGGAGGTCGGGGGAGTAAAGCAAGATATCATCTAGGTAAACAAGGGCCCCTTTGAACAAATGCTTGTGCAACACCTCGTTGATCAGATTCATGAAGACCCCTGGGGCTCCTTGAAGACCGAACGGCATCACCTGATACTTGAACTGTTCAAGAGGGGTGTTGAAAGCAGTCTTATGTTAGTCCCCCTCCCTGATGCGCACTTGAAAGTACGCATCCCGAAGATCCAACTTAGACAAGATTTCCCCCTTGGCTGCTTCCGCTAGCAAGTCTTTGACCAAGGGCATGGGATATGCATTAGTTGACGACACTGCATTTAATGACGACACTGCGCCGTTGGGCGCTTTTGCGCATCCTGCGGAAATTTGGGAAAAAACAACAACCCTTGTTTGTGACGGAACATTGGCGGGCGCCCGCGCGGGCGCCGGATGTCACGGGATTCCACTGGAAACGTGATCAGACGCCTGCCCTTGCCCCGCAGTGTCTGGAAACCAGTACCTCATAAGTACTAGTTTTTTACTCCGCATCTTCGGCGGGAAGCCACGGGATAGCCACGAGAGCACTACGCTTCCCAGATGTTGCGGTGTGATCGTGCCCGGAAAATCCGCCTATCATCCGTATCTTTAGCGCGGCAAATGCTCCGTGTGACCGGGGCCCTAGTTAGGTATGCGGAGAGACGGCAGCCTGGTATAATCCAGCCTCCTCAGCTCTCGGAAGGTAAGCAGAGTCAGGCAGTAGCTGGAAGGGAGACCACCAAGGAAGGCTCTGCAGAGGAAGGCAGTGGCAAACCACCTCTGCTTCTCACTTGCCTTGAAAGCCCCTTGCTGGGGGTCGCACACGCATGCACGCACACCTGCCAGCCACAGATTTTCTTGTAAGAGTTTGAGAATCCCTGATTTCCTGATGGGCTAATTGTCTACATGCTGTAAGGCTTTTATTTTTTTTAATGGGAGAGCATGACAAGACGGTATTCATTGCATGCTGGATAGTTTTTACCCCTCTACTGCCACCTTTGCATCGCTTAAAGTGCAGATCAGGTTTGGTGGTCTAGGTAGACCTCTTGGTCTCTGTAGTCTTTTGACTTTGCGAACAGAACACTTACTGTGTGCTGAGGTCAGAGTTTTCATAGAAGCCCTCCTTCTCCTCTAGTCCCATCCACATCCGTTGCAAGGAGAGTCTGGTGGCTGAGAGATAGCCAGAAACGCCTCTTGGCCCCCTTCTCTCAGTCAACAGAGCTGCCCTTGGGAGCCAAACACATTTCCCACAGTGAGGCTTTTAATCATCCTGCTTTGGTCGGGTTGGCTGGCTCGGGCACCTCCTCCCCTGAACCACCCTCTTCCTAGCAGAAAGGCCCACAGTGCCATCCTCGGCTGAGTTACACCATGCATAGGGCTGTTGGGAAATTTCTGGAGATGGGAGGGGGACAGGGAGGAGAGAGGTTATAATGCCATACAGGTTATAATGCAGGTTATAATGCCATACAGCCCACTCCCCAGAGCAGCCATTTTCTCCAGGGGAATTGATCTCTGTCACCTGGAGATCAGTTGGAATCAATGCTCCCTCTAAGCCGTGGAGTCTTGCAAGCAAAAAGTCTACTTTGTGAGCTGCTGGGATTAAAGTTGTGAGCGCTAAGACAAACAAATGTGTGAGCCAGAAGCTAGAAAACGATGAGCTAGCTCACACTGACTCAGCTTAGAGGGGACACTGGTTGTAATCCCAAGAGCTCTCCAGGCCCCACCTGAAGGCTGGCAGCCCCAGGCCCATTGGCTTCGACAGACGGGGGGGACTCTGCTGAGGATGGGGCTGCAGGGCCCCTGGAAGGTGCCTTCAATGTCCAGGACAGGGCCAAGATCTCACTCCTACGCAGGAAAGACTTCCTTCCCCTTAACCATCCGAGAGCCTGACTAAACAACATACTTCGACTGGGTACCTCTCCACGGTCTGTCAGAGGCCGTCTGGGGTTTGGAATGTGATTCCCAGGTGCAGGTGGGGGCGGTAATTAGGATCCAGATCCACGCCCACCTCCGACTGAGAAGAAAGGGGCTCCAGCCTTCTCCTTCTGCTGTTCTTCTAGCCTGGCGTGGTCCCAAGGAAGCACCGCTTGGCACCGGGGAAATGGATGGGCTATTTGTCAGGTTTCCCCAGTGGGGCAAGCAGGGATTCCCTGAGGCCATTCCAGGTCAAGAAAATGGTGTGGAGGGAGGAAAGGCTTAAGCCGCGGGGGCCTACAGGGCTCTTATCTGGCCCTTGAGCAACTGGTAGGTATGGAAACGAAGGTACTCCGCCTTTTATGGTAGCCCTTGGGGGGGGAAACTAGTCTTAAATACCTCTATTGGGGCTTTTGTGGGTTCTCCAGTAAATCAATTGCTTTCACTGCTAGGAATCAAATGCTTTTGTTTGTATTTTGAGTAAAAATAATATCATTAATTGGGTTTGCCGGTGTCCTTTATAAAGTTTATCTCTCTGGTACCTGGCGTTACATTTTATGACACACAAGGCCCCACCCGACAAAGTGACATTTATGTCATATCCAACCCTCATAACAAATTAGTTTGACCCCTCTGGCTTAAGGGCCTCTGTGAAATCCCCGGGACTGGGAAGGTGAGTGGGCATGGAGCTGGGCAAAGGAAGGGTTTTTTAAAAAAATTGTTTGGGTTGTGCCTGGGTGACACCAGGAGAGGGGGGATCCTAAGGGGCCCCTGGTGGCTATCAGCAATCCTGGTTGTTTTGCTGAGTTAACTTGGTAGGGTTGCCACCTCTGGGTTGAGAAATACCTGGAGATTTGGGGAACGGAGTTTGAGGAGCGGAGGGACCTTTGCAGGGTACAGTGCCCTCAAGCCCACTCACTAGAGCAGCCATTTTCTCCAGGGGACCTCATCTCTATTGCCTGGAGATCAGTTGCAATAGCAGGAGGTCTCCAGGCCCCACCTGGAGGTTGGCAAACAAAAGCTTGGGCATTTTCCAGATTGCCTTAATGTCCCATTTTTCATTCCCTGATGTTACCTCCCCCCCCCTTGTGTCTTTAACATCCCTGTGCTGTCTCAGTCTTTCCTCGTCCCCCCCCCCGCATCCCCAGTTCTTTCTTAAACTAGTTTTTCTTGTACTTTCTTTTTTCCATAGCGGAATGAATTTGCAAGATACCCTCTTGGGAAAGAGAGCCAGTTTGGTGTAGGGGTTAGGAGTGCGGACTGTAATCTGGGAGAACCGGGTTTCATAGAATCATAGAATGTTAGAGTTGGAAGGGACCTTGCAGGTCATCTAGTCCAACCCCCTGCACTCTGCAGGAGCATAGCCGAAAGATAGCCCTACAACATACCCGAAAGAGGGTCATCCAGCCTCCGCTTGGAAACATCCATCGAAAGAGCATCCACCACCTCCCAAGGTTTGATTCCCCGAGGCTCCACACGCAGCTGCTGGTGTGACCTTGGGTCAGTTACAAGTTCTTTCAGAGCTGTCCTTGAAAGGGCAGTTCTGGAAAGAGCTCTCTCAGCCCCACCTATCTCACAGGGTGTCTGCTGTGGGGAGGGGGAGGGAAAGGAGATTGTAAACCACTCTGAGACTCCTTTGGGTAGTGAAGGGCAGGGTATAAATCCAATCTCCTCCTCCTCCTCCTCCTCGTCTTCTTCTCTTGCTCAGAATCTGAACATTTCCCCCCTCCTAGTGGATTGCAGCCTTGTGGCAAGTTGTTGTTTTTTAAAAATAAATTTGCATGCCAGCGCTGGAACGTTCCCGTGCTGGAGGGCCCCTGCGCTGAAACAGTCCCATTGGGAGGCCCAGCACCAGCTCCTGCAGCTCTGCTTATTCAGGAAGCTGACGCAGAGTCAGTTTTCAAGGTGATCTTTTTTTGGGGGGGGGGAGAATTTTGCAACTTCAGTTCCTTAAAAACTGGCTCTTGAGATGTTTACCAGAACAATGCAGAGAAGATACACATTTTAATCATAAACTTCAGTGGGGAAAGGGAGGGGGAGGAGTGTTATGTACTCAATTTCAAAAGGTTGCGTACTTTGGGGAAATAGAGTTGTAATCCCAGAGACACTCAGGCACAGGGTCTTGCAATCATTACATGACGGGCACCCGGGAATGGTGCATATGAAGGCCCTAGCAAGGGGATACGTATGGTGGCCAAAAATTGATAAAGCTATTGAAGAATGGGTCCAGGTTTGCATCCCATGTCAGCAGAGCAGGCCAGACCCTCCAACAGCCCCGCCACAAAAATGGGAGTCCTCCGGAAAGCCATGGTCAAGACTTCACATGGATTTCGCGGGCCCCGTTCAGGGCCAAATGTTCCTAATCATTGTAGATGCCTGGTCCAAATGGCTAGAGGTAGTGCAAATGAATGCAACTACATCCACAGCGGTCATCCATGCGCTCCGTAGGCTGTTCGCAACCCACGGGTTGCCGGACACTCTGGTCAGCAACAATGGCCCTCAGTTTGTGTCCGAGGAGTTTAAGACATTCCTATCGGACAATGGCATCCGGCAAATCACCGCTGCCCCTTTTCACCCAGCTTCGAATGGCCAAGCAGAACGCATGGTACGCACGGCCAAAGAAGCCCTGGGAAGACTGACAGAGGGAGATTGGAGTGTTCGGCTGGGGTCTTTCCTTCTGCGTCAACACACCACCCCCTGTAGCACAACAGGCCGTAGCCCGGCCGAGCTACTCATGGGCAGGCGGCTAACCACCAGGTTAAACAGATTGCACCCTGACCTTAACGAGCAACAGGAGGAGCGTACAGACCCGCATACGAACATGCGCACATTTCAGGCCGGAGATAATGTTTTTGCCCGGAACTACGCTGCCGGCCATCCCTGGGCCCCGGGGGTAATTGGCGAATGTATTGGCACTCAAATGTACTTGGTCCTAATTTCCGATGGTAGGAGATGGCGGCGCCATGTGGACCAGTTACGGAGGTGTTGGGTCAAGGACAGCGCCGACTCGTCAGCTGGGTCCTCCGAATTAGTTTCTCAACCTCCCGCCTTGGAGGACGAGGTAGAGTCAGCAGGTACTGCAGGGCAATTCCCTGCGACTGAAAAAGCAGACCCGGCCGTAAAAGCGCCTGATTCAAGGTCTGTGGAACTACAGTTAGAAGCCCCGCTGAGTGAACCTATCGCACTTAGAAGGTCTCAGCGTACACACAGAGCACCAACATATTTAGCTGACTATGACTGCAGCAAACTATTTGATACTGCCTGACAGGCATCGGATATATGCGTGATATGTAAATATAACTGTAAAATGTGATGACTTAACTTAGGGGGGAGGAATTGTTATGTACTGACAGCATAACATGAATCGCCTAATCCACCTCCCATGTTGAGCTTCGAGCCAGCCTAGGCTCCGACTGTAATCAAAAGCTATTGGTCGCATCGGAACAGCGACCAATCACAAAGAGACTATTCACTGAGAGGGAAGAACTCTGATTTGCCCTTATCCTTACAATCTGATTGGTTGTTATGTATATAATAGGCGTGGCTATATTAGCCCGGCATGTTTAAAAGGAGCCCGGCTCCAATGTTTTACTGTTCTGGTTTCTGAATGCGTTTGAGTGCTTGTTCGTATTTCCATTAAAGCTGAATCACTTGCTGAAATCACTCTACGAGTCCTTTGTTAGCGCAATCCAACAAGGAGAGTGCAATATTCTGGCTACTTTGAAATGTCCTGGACCCCAGTTCCATCCTCGCATCACACCAGAGTAGACATACTGAACCCAATGGGGCTACTCTTGTGTAAAGGGATCACACCCTGCCTATGTATTCCAGGGCAGGCTCGTCCTGAAAGTGTGATGGGCGGGAAATGTACTTTAACAGGGATTACACAGCTGCCATAAGGCTGCTAAAACACTGCAATGCCTCAGCGCATGTGCAAAAAAGCCCCCAACCTCCCCCACTGGAAAATCAATCCTCAATGTGAATGTGAACTGACGGAACTGTGACGGGGGGAAATGAAAAAACATGTGTGAACTGATTGCACCAATAGTGTGACCATCGGAACTGCTGCGACACCCACGAAAACCCCAAAGGCGGCTGCAGTCTGGAAAACATGTTGGTTAGGCCTGACTGAACGCTGGCAGGTAAGGCTTAACTTAGAGGGCAACCCAGGATAAACACTTTCAGCATTCATCCAGGGAGCGGCCTCTTCACTCAAACATGTGGCCTGGTATCCCCACTGCCTGCATCCCAAACAGTCTCAGTGTCTGTAGGCTAATCCTGTCCTATTATATAAATGTGTAGTGGTCTGGCAATGTTCTATGCGTGGTAAAATGAGTTGGCTGCAGGAACTGCCCATCACAAGGTGTCCCTTGATTGGCTACATTCCCTTCCACTGTGGCGTCAGTCCCGCCCACAAATCTGCTGCCCAGCATCTCGCCCTCAGTCTGAGCGGGGCCATTGGCCAGTATGGATGCCCCGGCAGCCACTCTGGTGTGGAGCCAGGAGGACGGACCTGCCTGGCCTCCGCACAGCCTGGTCACTCTCTCAGGCCCCGGCCCTGAGACTGCTGGGAGGCCTCCGGGAGGGGAGGGTGCCATGAGGCGCCTTCGCCCGACCCCCCCACCTGGCTGGGAGGCCTCTGGGAGGGGCGGGTACCATGGAGCTTCTCTGCCGCCAGCCTGTCTTTGCCCGCCCCCCCAACTGCCTTCTAGGCCCGCTCGGAGCCCTCCAGTAGGACCGGGTGCCGTGGAGCCTCTCCGCCGCTGGCATGCTGGCCGCCACCAGCCCCTCTTCACCCAACCCCCACAGCTATTAGGGCAGCTCGGAGGCCTCCGGGAGGAACCTCGCCGGCGGTGGCATGCTCACCAGCACCTGCCCGTCTTTGCCCACCCCCACCTTCTAAGGCTGCTCGGAGGCCTCCAGGAGGGAATGGTGGCGTGGGGTCTCTCTGTTGGTGGAGCGCTCGCCGCCGCAGGCCCATCTCCACTCGACCCCTCACTCTGAAGGCCTCAGGGAGGGGAGGGTGGTGTGGGCCCTCTCTACCGGTCCTGCGCTCACCGGAGCCGGCCCATCTTCCCTCGACCCCCCCCGCCTGGCTTCCGAGGCTGCTGGGAGGCCTCTGGGAGGGGAGGTTGGTGTGGGGCCTTTCCACCGGTGGCACGCTCACCACCACCATCCCATCTTCGCCCGCCACCCCCCACGCTTCTAAGGAGCACTGACCGCCGCCGGCCCGGGCACATGCTGCAAGCTGCCACGCTCCCCCCGGCCCTCTGCCTAGCACTCATTGTCTGTCTCTTTGCAACGGGCCTTGCCAGTAGTTATTAATATTCAAGGAAAGGCCCATCTTATGTAAGCCCTGAGCTCTTCAGAGACTCCTTGCTCATCATTTGCCTCCTGGCATGCCATCCGAGTGATAACTGAGGCACCTCATAATCCCATATGGCATCCCTTACGCCACCTGGTCTGGAGGTAAGGAATGTCTTGAGCTTATAGGGAAGGTGCGTTGGTGGTGAAGTGTCTGATGCACAGCATTTCTTAGCTGGCTTGACAGCCTAAATGCTTTTTTTGTCAGAGACATCTGGAAAAGAATCCATTATATACTTCCCAATATGTTGCTCAGATAGTTCAGACTGAGGGGCCATCTCGACTAGCAACGTAGCCAACCAGATGTCTCCAGGAAGCGGACAGGCACAGTATGGAGGCAACTGCTCTCTCCCACTGATTGCTCCCCAGCAACTGACATTCAGAGGCACGCTGCCTCTGTTCAGAGGGGTTCCATTCTTATCATAGCTAATAAGGACATAAAAAAGACTGCTGGTTCAGTTTAAGGGGGTCTTTTCTCCCCAGGATCCTGTTTCCTACAGTCACCAATAAAATGCTTCTCTGAAAGCTTCAAGGAGGGCATGGTGTCAAACTCGCTTTCCATTTTATTGCTCCCTTGCCATAGAAGTCAGAAGGGGGATCAGGAGAGTGTGAATTCTAAATGCTTTTGCTTTCAGATGCTTTGATGCCTGGGAACATCCACTGGCCTTGAGTCTCAGTTTACACCATCTGGCTTTGGTCGACATGTTGGGGGGATGTCACCAAGGTGGGAATACAGAGACGTTGGTTTGGGCGGGTGGAATACCTGGGGGTGATTGGCTTGTAACCTTTTAAGGTCCCTGTTTGAATCTTGTATATCTATTGCTTTCGTGCCTCCATCTTCAGTTCTAACACAGCCAACGTACAGGCTGGATCCTATCAATAAACTTTTCGTTCTTCTGAATGACTGTTGTTGGGAACTGATTTCTCCAAAAGTCTGACAAAGTGTTAGAACTCACTTTTCCCGACCCTTTGCACCACCAGCTTGATGAGTGAAGGCAACGGAGAAGTCCCCACTACCACCAGTGATGGGGCCACACCGGTGACCACGGCGGCTCCAGTGATCACGACAGAATCGAGGGACTCGGGGGCAAGGCCCAGAGACGTATGGGCTTTGATCCCCAGCTGGGTGGAACCCCAACCCAGTTGGGTGCTGACCCCTGACCCACTGCTTGACCATTTCTTGTACGGTGGGGAGTGGGACCGTAGACGGTACAGGCGATTGTTCCAAGACAACCCCACCCTCATCCTCATCGCAGATGAGACGGATCTAGAAGGTAGCCACCGGGAGTCCTCCAACACAGTCCTCCAACACTCTGGTCTCTCCAGGAGCTGATATTCAGTGGCCTACTGCCTGCAAAGATGGAAGTTCCACGCACCCACCCTAGCTATATTCTCTATTAGAACCATCTTCCTCCATCGTTTCCTCTAGTTCCCTTTTATAGCCATCTAAGGTAGAGGACTGTCAGATCTCATGGCCATGGATTATGTCAAGAGATACTTTGAACTCGTCTCGCTCGTATGGAGTTGGGAGGGAAACGCTGCAATATACCAGTGAGCTTAGCTCATCTGTTTGGCATCCGTGTACTAGCCCTTCTCTGTGCTATCATCTGCCACGGAGATGCGTGGAACATTTCCAGAGGCTTGATGGCCTCTGCTGCCACCCCCCGCCCCACCCCACCTGTGCTGACGGGATGCCCTGCTGGGCAGGCTTGCGTTCCCCTGCCTCTCCCCTGCTGGCTGGTCAGGCACCCTTCGTCTGCACCATCTCAAGGACCTTACAGTGACGAGGTGGTAGAAAAATGATTCATGTTACTTTTTAAAAGATCCACTTTGCTTTCCTTTCATTGGGCTTTGGTGCAGGATGTGTGTGGGCAGCTGGGTTTGGGGATCAAGCCTAGAGGCAGTGATGCAGCCAAACAAGGGTCAAATCTGGGGAGCAAGCAGGGTGCAGAGAGGCTGCAGGAGCTGGGCGAGGCGTTGTCCTCATCCCAGAGGCTTGACGTGCTCTAATGCATGCGTGAGTCACATGAGCGATCCACGTGGTGATGCCACCTGCCTCACAACCCCCCCCCCCCATTGCATCAGAGACTGAACCCTGCTTAGCATGAGCACGGTTGGCTGCAGCCGGGAAGAATGTCTGGACAGGCTGGTTGTGAGTGTTCCTATTTCAACAGGAACTTCTGGCTTATCTCTTGCTTCAGGCCACAGCATAAGAACCCCGAATGTGACACATGCAGGCACCGCCCTGCTGTACCTAAATTTTTCAGACCAAAGTTTGAGTCCAGTAGCACCGTTAAGACCCACAAAGTTTTATTGGCGTTATAAGCTTTCTTATGTGTTTGCACTGGACTCAAGCTTTGTTCTGCTGCTTCAGACCAACAGAGTGACCCACCAGAATTTTTCAGTTGATCTCGTGCTCAGTAGGGGAAGGATCAGGGTAGGCTCCACAGGATCACATTCTTGTGACGGACCAAACACCAAAGCCCTCTAGCAACTTGGAAACTTTGCTTCCAGATGGATGCCCTGGGCAGACTTGACAGGCGCACAGACACTGGCAGGCAGGCAGGCCATGCCAGACCCCAAAGCAAAAGCTATCCAGCACTCTGCATTTCTAAATCAGCATCCCTTTCCACCCAATCAAAAACAAGAAAAAGCCCCCCCCCAAAAAATCTGGCTTCCTCTTCCTGTTTCGTTTTTGCCCCTTTCCACTTCTGCTCTGTCACATGGGTGTGACTCAGGGGTCTGGCGGATGTTTAGACCAAAGCGTTTCTTTCAGCATCCAACAGCTTGATTATTCATTTCCACTCTGCTTCATCAAAGGGGGGGAAAAGGTTGTTTCTGAAATGTGATGAATAGAGCATATTGTGGCAGTGGCTTTGCAGTCTGGGGACCGGTCCTGGA